GACTGAAGCTGTGTGCTAACTTTAGATCTCTCCTCTATTGGTCCAAAGATTATTACTTCAGTTTTGTTTTTATTCAGTTGAAGAAAATTATGGCGCATTGGTGAAAAAGAACACTCCCACAGTATGATGCTACCACTACCAAACTTCACTGTAGCTATGTTCTGTTGAGGCTTTTTTTCCTTCTTCTACATGTATCCAATTCATGGGATCTACCATTATCTAGTCCTGTTTTAAACAATGGCTGATCATCCATATAGTCCATTATTATAATGGAGTACATAACTGACACGTGTCTTGTGGACAGATTCTCCCACATGAGCTAGAGATCTCTGCAGCTCCTGCAGAGTAACAGCAGTCTTCTTAGCTGCTTCTCTTCACAGCTTTATGTGATCCTTTAAAGGGCACATTACTGTTTTTGATTACTTGCATTCCCCTTAGAAATAGAGTTCCCTCTTGTCCCTCAGTGAGTTCTAGAAGCACAAGATCTATATTCAGCCATTCAGCAAAGATACTGCTACATGGCTGTACATCTTATTTTGGCATTTGCCCAATCAGATGAGCTATTAAATAATATATTACCTACTGCAAATCAAGTTGGGGGAAAAAAATAACGTTAAAAAGTAAAGTTAATAAGCCTAGTTAACAACTATATTTAGGTTTATAAACTAAACAGTGTAAGTTCCAGTATCAGCATTAAAGCCTCTAAGGTTATGTTGTACCAAAAAAAGTTTTTTTAATGAATTTCTTATAGAAGCATTTTAATTTTTCTTATATAGATATATTCGGGCAAGTTGGCGTTTCTTGTTTTTACATTGACATTGATTTTTGCTATCAAAATATCCATATTTTTTTTATGTTACAAAGGTAATAATGTCTTATCCTGGATTCCAATAAGACTATTGGCTTGAAATTTGGATTTTGAAAGTATTTCACCGAGTTCTCTATAAAGGGTTAAACTGGGATTTCTTAATAAAGATTAGATTAGATGAGCTTTATTTATCTCACAGCGGAGAAATTCACTGGTCACATATTGGCATAGAAGTTAAAGAAGGTGCAAACAAGGTGCATTAAGAATAAACAATATATATATATACAGTATATCAAGATAAATAGGATTAAGGTGCAGTGTACATGTATCGCACACAATGAAAAACAAAATAAAAATAAGAAATAAAATAGACAGATTGATGTTTTTAAGTTGGTTTCAGTTGACTTTATGCACATTAACTGGAAGATTTATACAAATATTTGCCCCAGTTTTGAGTTTGATTTTATTAAGTAAGAAAACCAAACTTTGTATAGATTTCTTATAATCAAAAGGACAATCTGTATAGCTTATAATTCCTCAGACAGATTAATTTAATCTTTGACAACCTAACAGAATAACTGTTTATTTCAAGCAGCTGAAGTTACTCACTGAGATCCCTGCTGTTTCAAGCTGCTGGCTGCCTTCCTGTCCTTCCTTTCTGGGGAGGAATCAGCAGGTTTCACGGTTCTTCTCTTCATTGTTTAATGTTACTAACACCTCATTACTAAAACCTTCCAGTGTTTCCAAACTCCTGCTCGTGCACTTTGACCAAGTCTAGATTTGATGAAGGTGGAGTTTAAACACAGGAAAAAGGGGGGGAGGTGCCAGGGTTGTTAAGGTGGTACCGATTCAACACATAGGTTTTTTTATTGGAGACAACACCACTGCAACTGGAACTACCTTAAATAAATTACACAATCAGCAAAGTTCAAACTTTATTATCCAGAAATGAATACAGCATAAATTAATCAGATAAATAAAAATCTTTTTTGTTTTTTACAGATTAATAATGTAGATCAATTTTGCAAGTTTAATTTGAAGCCTAAAGCACATTTCTGCTACAATTCAAAGAGCTGGATTATAAAGAGCATATGAGAACATATAAACAGAATAAAGTACATTGCAGTTGCATAATAAAGGCAGATAAGGAACAGTTGGACTACAATCAAAGTTAACAATCTAAATACACAAGTATAAGGCAACTCTGAACAAATAACTTTGGGTTTCAGCCCTTCGGGGAGTTTGTTCCAGATGAGTGGAGCAGAAAAAGAGGTGAGCTAGTCAACCTGAGTGGTTTATAAAACAGACAACAAATCTGTTTTATGTTTTAGTGCAAAGCCATTCAGCTAAAAGAAACATTTGAAAGTATATTATCTAATTTCTCTTTAAAAAAGGTAAAACCAAGAGCAAGTTAAAAATAAATGAACCCATTGTTACACATCAGCAGTAGAGTTCAAACAATCACAAAGAGAAAGCAGTAAATGAGTTACTAAAAGGTTTTTTTTCTGATTCAGGAAATCAAAGCACCACATAAGAGAGTGTTTTATGAGATAAGAACGACACTCTAAGAAGTTCCTATGACCAAACTCCAGTCTGAGATTTCCTGCAGGTTTATTCCTCCTGTGCAGGCGTTATTTTTTGTCAGGGTTGGTTCTACAGCTGCCTTCATCTGAGGTGTTCCAGATCAGGAGATCAGCAAAGCAGGAGAACAGAAAAAGTTAATATGTTACAATGATCACAGGCTTTTGCATACAGTTGAAATGCTTGATTTAAAGAACAACATGCTGTGCAGACAGATTTGTTTGCAGCTCTGGTAAAGCTGTGCAAAAAGCTGAAGCAGAATTTAAAATGAAACATTTAAGGGAAAAAAAATCCAAGCAAAATCACACATGATTTTTTGGTAACTCATAAAGCTCTCAATATTATTGTTACAAAAGCATTTAATTTTTTTCTAACTGACCAGTGCCAATGAACTTGTAATTCCTATCTATGCCTTTCTGTTCTCCTGGCGACATGAATTGACTTGGGATAGAAGCAAATAATCATTCAAAGGCCACTTTTAGAAATAAGAAATAAAAAGTGACATCTGAGGGTCAAAACAACCATCACAACCATCCTACCATCACACTGCAAAAAATGGAAATCTAGATAAGTCATTTTTTTCTTAAACTAAGTGCATTTTTTCTTGAATTGAGGAGGTAGGTGAGACACTTTGCCAATGGAACAAGACAATCTATATTTAAAATAAGAAAAAGGAACTGCATTGTCTTATTTCAAGTGCATATTATACAATTACCTGATTTTAAGAGTAAAATACTCATTCCATTGGCAAATCATCTCATTTACCTACTAAAATTAAGGTTAAATACACTTGATTTAAGAAATTTTTACTTATTTCTAGATCATTTTTGTAGTGCACAAATATACCCGTGGAGTTCTACTGGAACCAGAATTCAGTCTGATCTATTTTGCTTCTCCACAGCAAACCTTTTGGCTGGTTTGCCTTGACTGAACTGATAAATTACAAAGCTGATCAGGCAAACACTGCAAAAACAATCCAGAAATAAGTAAAAAATGGCTTAAATTAAGTATATTTAGCCTTAATTTGAGCAGGTAAATAAGATGATTTGCCAATGGAATGAGTATTTTCACTCTTAAAATAAGATAGATAATATTTACTTGAAATAAGACTATAATATGGTTTTTTCTTATTTTAAAAGGAAATTGTCTTGTTCCATTGGCAAAGTGTCTTACTTACCTCCTCAAATCAAGGAAAAACACACTTATTTTAAGAAAAAATAACTTATTGAGATTTCTATTTTTTGCAGTGAAGTTTTAAGTATGGTGGAAGATCTGTGATGCTGTGGGCTTGTTTTTTTCCCCAGAGACATTAGGAACTTTGTTAGAGTGAAAGGCACTATGCTGGTGAAGATACTCAGTCATCCAGGTCAGTCATTCTAAAAAAAGTATTAAATTAATTAGACTTTGTTTCCAAGTTTGGAGACGCTTCTCTTCCCATCCAGGAAGCTTTTTCAATTCAAAATGTCAGAAATAAAGTTGAGTTTGAGGCTTCATAGTGTGGATGAAAAACAAAGCCTCTTTTTGGCTTAGAAAACATGCAACTTGAACCAGACGAGCAGGGAATGGGGAGATGTTTGGGTTCTTTTGTTAGCCTGCAATACCAGGTACTGGTCTATGCCTCAGAAGGGGGGTCATTAGAGGGGATTGTTGGCTGTACAGGTGGGGTTCTGGTCCCCTGTAAGGGGATGGGGGTTGTGATGACAGTGGGAAGTAATTTACTGTATCGCTGCCTACAATACAGATAGTGCAAAATGTCAGAAATAGCATTTATTTCAAGGCTGGTAAAAAAAAAAAAAAGTCTCACTTGTCAATGTTATTTGATAGACATGTGAGTACATGTCTGTTAGAATACTTGTATATAAATGTATTTGTGTAGTGTTATCATGCATAAAGCTATGTGCGTGTTTTCATAGCCACCTTTTCTGAAGTATACTGTGATTTGTGGATTTGCTTTTGGGGAGGTTGTGGTTGATCTACGGGCAGCACTCGACCTGCTGAACTTTGAACAGCTTCAACAGCTTAAACTTTGACTGAACCCTGAGATTTAGAGGACATGTTTACTGAGACTGCAGAGTGGGGTGGAGATTGTTAACTCTGCAGTCTCTTCCTACTCTCCTTGCAAGTAACTAAATTAATTGTCTCTGTGCTTTCTTTCTTTCCCTGTATGCATGTATGATGTTTTAGGTGCTTAGACCTGACAATGTCCTTGCTAATAATGCTACTGGTGTTAGCAGTGCTGTTAAGCTCTGCCCTCCAAGCTGTCAGTTTTCTATGGCACAGTCAGGATTTATTTAGTAGCTGCATCAATGGCCACCATCAGGTATTCTGCTAGTTCAGAGGCAATGCCAGTAGCACCAAAAAGGACCATCAAAACACTATCAGGACAAAAGCTTGTAGCATAGCCCGATTTCATCATAATCCACTGGTATTTGCTCTTTTTGGTACAGGCATATTACCTGACTGTGTACCTTTAATGGTTTTAACTCCTTTAGAAAGAAAAAGGTTTAAGAGTTTAAAATTGAACTTTTAAAGACAGATCGCTCCAGGTGATTTCTGTTTCACAGAAAGGATAAAATGTGGAAAAACATGTCATGCTTGTTGTTAAGTGCACTGAAAGACTTCGGTCACACCAGGTATAAAAATCAGTTTGAAATAAAAGTCTGTTGGACTGAAAATGGGCCATCAGTGGGTCTTTCAGCGGGATAATAACCCGACCTTTAGGGCCGAACAGAGAGCCCAGGAGTCCTGATGATTTAAAACAAACCAAAAAAGTTTAAAGGTCTCTCTATCTGTATGCTCCAAGCTTATGAAATGTTACAGAATTGGCAAAAACTAGAGTTTAACATGTATTCTAATCTGGATTATATGAATTTCATAGAAATATTAACCGAAGCAGAGCTTCATGGTTGGATTCAACATGGCTGATTGGGATTAAAAGACAACAAAAACAAGAAATCCCTCGAGGAAAATACAGTAGTAGCCATTCAAAATTCCCCCAATTTCCTTAATTAGTCTTTGGCTGTTCCCCTACAATTCCTTTTTAAAAATCAATATTTGTATTAAAATATTCTTTCTGTCATGATTTGTAGACATTAAGATCTAAAGGGAAGCATTATTTCCTGGTCAGACCCTGTAATTCAGGGAAAGGTTGGAGTCAGAGTAGAGTTTTTACTGGAATGGGCCATTTTGAATGGCTTGTACTGTATGTGAGGTGATCTTCACAATGTAGAGAGGATAAGGGGCCTCTGAGGGGCCACATCTGTCAGTAGTGTATAATGGCTCTGATCAACAATCCTGTGCTTCAGCCTGTATCAGGGAGCCAACAGAGAGGACGTTAGATCCGGTGGAACAATCAGGATTTTGGTGACTCAAATAAACGCCGAACGTCACCTAAAAGTGAAAAAGAACAAACATATTTTTAGTTTAGCAGTGGCACTTTTTATACTTTGACACAACAACCCCCCCCCCCACATACTCACTAGAAAAACGATCTAGACCAAAGGTCTTCAACAGGGGGTCCGCGACCCCTAGGGGGTCCACGGAGGTACTGCATGGGGGTCGACAAAATTTTGTTGTTTTTTTTTTTTTTTTTACTTTTTTTTTTTTATATATATATATTCCCCACTGCAAATTTTCCCATTAATTAAAATGTCTTTAAATACGCTTTAACATGAATTCAACATGAATTCATCATCATTTCATTCACACCTGTCCTATCAACGA